CTGTGAATTCGTCGATTTGTGCAACTTATGAAAATCATATGATAAAATTTTAGATGTGACAAATCGGGTGACTGATACTTAACAGTTAAATACTGTACATCCTACGTATACAATATCTATTTAAGTAATTTTATTCTAAAATTATATGTCTATTAATACATAATTATATATTATCGTTATAATTAATTTAAAATTTAATATATAGAATAATAATAAATAATCAGAAAAAAGTCGCGTTTTTATTTTCATAAATTTGTTTTTTCTTGAAACATTATAAACCATTTAAACATCTAAAAGAAAAAACATATCTTTAATTAAAAACAAAATTAAAAAAACCGTCTTGGAAGTTTGTACAACAAGAATATCCGAATCGTAATTATCTTATCAATCTATAATAAACAAAAAACACTTTTGAAAAAGTATTATAACGCCAACCACGACTACTAATATAAAAAGTATATAAAGATATATATATAGTTTGAAAAAAAATACCACGAAAGCCGTAAAGATGAGTGCAGAGATTGAACTACATAGAATTCCATTTAATGAAAATTTTTCTGACATCTTTAAGAGGAATGTAGAAAGGTATTGAAGAAAGCAGTAATAAAAAGCATACGCGAAGTCTTCATTTCCTTATTATACATTTATTTTATTATATAAAGGTTCCTCGCTTATATGGAAAAATTATACGCAAATTATTGTGCTTTCACGGTTAGACGTCCATATCTTGGGGTAATTTTTTTTTTTTAATTATCCATATAATTTGTTTTTCAGTCAAAAATATTTATATTAAATCAATTTTATTTTTTTAATAGCTTTTCTTTGCTATATTTATCGTTTTTTCGGCTTTTCCATTACTTAGTTATATAGTTTTCTCAATTATCTCTACTACTTTAATTATTGGTAGTTCTTTTTGTCTTGGATTATTTGCATTGGCTTTTATCCTTGGTCTAGCTGGTAAATTTCTATAATTCTAATTTTCTGTACATCATTTTTTTTTATTTTTGGTATTAAAATAATTTAATTTTGATATTTTATTCAAAAATAGGACTGGCCCTTTCTGTCGCATTAATTTGTACCTTTTTTTTAACATGTGTGGTTTGTTTTTGGATTGCACTTACTTTTACAGCAACTCGTTTTATTGATGGATATATTAAGAAAAACAATTTTGGAATTTTCCCGTCTAATAATGGTGTAAATGGTGTAAATGGTGTAAATGGCGATGTGGGTCCTCGTGAAAGCCAATCTAAATGACTAAATTACGCCTCGACATTAATATAAATTTTAGGATGAATATAATATATACGACTATATATTACGAGCATATATATATCGATATGTTGTAAGTGGATTCGGAATTTATATATAAAACCCCTCATTTGGGGTTGCTTTTATCATATTTACACCCTAACCCTAACCCTAATTTAACTAGGAATTCCAATTCCACTTAAATTCCATTCCCAATTACAACATTTACAAGTATATATTAAGTGTTTTGTAAAATTAAAAATTTTTCATTTCAATTTTTTTTATAATGTATCAATTATAAACAACTTTATAAATGAGATTTACATATTCTTGTTTAATAACTAATAACCAATTTACTTTCTTTTTTTAAAAATTCAGAAAAAATATGTTAACATTTTACAATCCAATATTACAGTTTACTATACAGTTTTTTTTTTTTTTTTTTTTGCAATTTCTGAATTTAATTATTGTGGATCCGGTACAATATGGTTTTTAAAGATTTCCTTACATTTCCATGTTAGTTGACTGTATCTCTCAAATAGTGTATCTTCATTATCCAAGGGAATATCTTCCACATCGTCAAATGGAATATTCAGATCATCTTTGTAATCAATATCGATAACTAAACAGTATTCGTTAACTAATTCTGAAATTATATTTTCACGCATTTTATCTGTTTTATCTGCATGCGTTTGTACTTGTACCCATTGTTGTAAAAATTCGTTAAATAAAACATCCGACCCACAAGTTTTATCAAATGCTATAAACGTTTTTAGAACAAATGTAGCCTCTTCAATAGCCTGTTTGAATAATCCATCTTTCTTGGCATGTTCCAAAGCCTCATCATTAAGAATCTAGTAATTAATATTAATATTTTTCTATTTATTTAGTAATTCAATGATATACTGTAATAATGTTTTAAATATTGTTAAAATACAAACCTTTAAACAAATTTTCACATATAAGATAATAATATCGGTTCGTCGTAACTTTTCTATATTAATTATAAATACACTAGTCGACATCTTTCTCATCCATGAATTTTCAAGTTGTATAGCTTTATAAAAATAACGGATCGCTTGAACGAATTCTCTTTTTTTTATCATATGATCTAAACCTTCAACAATATATTGTGCTATCTCTTTAAAATCATCAAAGGCCGCAACAATGTCACTGTATCGATCATCATTGCGATACCTTTCATCTAAAGGAATAGGATCATTCCAATCTAAACCTACCGTCTGTTAAAATTAAGGTGATAATTTAAGGTTATTAACGTAAATCAATCAATCAATCAATAAAAATAATATAAATCAAAAATACACGTCAAAAAAATATATAGTTGACTTACGGATTTTGAGTAATCTGTTATAAGCGATTTAATTTCATCACCTTTACCAAGTTTAACGAAAAATACTTCTATTCTAAAAATGTAATAAATATCAAATTTATTAATAATATCAAGTTCTATATCATTACTTTTTTCGATATTTACCTTTTCAAAATTCGTGCATCATGAATTTTAAGATACTTTGCTTGATCTTTTATTGTATCGATGCGGCCTTGAATCTTTTCGGAATCTGATGATCCTCCACATGCAGTAGAATCTGATTCCCATGTACCTTCCATAGCATTATTATTGTCTGCTAACTCTGCACGTCGGATTTGATTACCTATTTCTTCCTCAAGTATTTGATTGTCTTTTTCTACAAAAGCCTAATAGACAAATATTTCAATTAATTTTGTTGTAAAAATAATGTATAAAATTTAACATAAACTTGCTAAATACGGATACTAACCTTGAGTGTATCAGGAATAACTTCCTCAAGGTTTGAAAAATTGTAATCAAATTGTGCATTTACATAAAAAAGTGTGTAGACACTGTGACTCGAATGATAAATTCCCGGTTCGTTAAGCACCGTGTTTTCAATTGCCTGATTATTATATCAATCTGCGTCTTGATTGAATTTGAATAAAAAAAAAAAAAAAAAACTCTATATATACAAATCCTTAATAATAAATTTACCTCTTCTACGCTATTGTCTTGGAATTTCATCCAATTACCATCATCCATGGTATTAGGAATACGATTATCTGATTTGCTACATCTTGAAACCCATATATAAGCCCAGTGATTTCCTTGCCCTGATTGTCCATTATGAACTAAAACTGCTTTAAGACGATAATGATATTTTTTCATATCAGGTATATCAAATATTTGTTTAATGTTTTGTTCTAATTCATCCTTTTTTTTCAACAGATCTAAATCAAATAAAATTGTCAATGATCGTCAATGCTTTGTAAATTAAAATGTAGTTAAATAAAATCAGTAATGTACCATTCAATTTTTGTTCGACTTTGTCCAAGACTCCTTCTAACCACGTCTTTGTCCGTTGTGCATCATCATCAGTTGTTCCATTTTCTGCTGCTTTTTTACACTTTTGCTGAAAGTGCTCTATTGAACCTTTAAGCAATTCAGGTCCATTATGTTTTCCCTAATAAAAAAAATGTTAATAATAATAACTTGTAATCATGTAAAATTGTTACAAGACCTTACCTGAAACTTAATAATTTTATCAATGTTCAGGTCTATTTTTTCTAGTTCATTCTTCATTATTTCAATTTTTTGCCAACACCTTTCGACAAATTGACTATTTTCATACATGTAACGATCCATGTATAATTCCTTAAGAACTTGGAATGTTGAATCTCCTTGGAAAGTAGGAAAACTAGGATTGCCGTCACTATCTTTATGTTTTAAGTTCATTACCAATATATGTGCTAGTTTTGTAAAGAAAGGTTTACGCAAACTCCCTTTCGATTCTTGCATTACGCGATCCAACGCATCATAAATTGTATGGCAACTAGGATATACGTCTAGAGGGTTTGGTAGCAATGAATTAAGTGTAATAAATTTAAGAAAATTTAATAGAAAAAAAAATATTGCAAAATATCATCAAGGATATCATATTAGTAGCATTGTGGTGTCTATCTGATTGACTATAAGTGTTTCCATATTTTTTTGAAATCAAATTTTCTGCATTTGACCTAAATAACCTGATAAAATAAAAATGTAAACGTCAAGTTTTATCAAAATTAATACATTTACACAGTTACTATACTTTTCAAAATCTAAAATATAAGGTTGAAGTTCTGCAGGAATGTCTTGATCCCCGGAAACTCGATCCCGATAGTTCGATCCTTCCAGCAGTTTAGCAATTAATTTATTAGTAAAGCCTATGAAAGAATTTGTAAGTTCATCTAAAACTTTAAAATGAAATTCAACTCGTTAACAAGTTTAACGTTCGAGATTTCAAAATGCACACATACTAGACACGACTTCTGCTTCATTCCAGATTGCTTTTTCATCAAAATCCAAAACATCCACTAATTGACTTGAGTCACCATATGCTCTTTGACTCAACGATAGAAAACCAAAGAGCTTTTGAAATTCATGAATAACTAATGAAATATAGACGTAAAGCACATAGTCAAAATTAGATTATTGAATGTATTGATATTACCGCACACTCACATTTTAAAGATTCCTGTCGATTCGCGTTACTATAAAGCTTAGATTTATCATCATTGGTATAATAATGTTTTTGACCCTTCCAATAGCCTTCTACATTGCCCCAATCGTCCTTAGTCGGACGAAATGCCAACAAAGACAATCGAAAAATAGGAATGTGAAACAATGCTTGAAAAAAAGAACTGGCATAATAATAATCGATCACCGGTTTTAACCCAAGAGGACTGATTTGTAGGTATATTATAAAAATATTATTATTTACTATAAAAATTATAAAAAAAAATTATAGCACCTACGTTGTATCAAGCTTTTGTCTTTTCACCGGTTGTTCCCAATCACCACACCAATTCTGATCTGATCTTGGATATTGTGAGTCATTACCATTCTATTTTTGTTAAAAAATAAAATTGGTTAAATACAGATTGCAAATTATATTTTTCATAGCATGTAGAAATTTTCAACAAATACTTAATTCGCATTGTATTAATTCACATTGCATTATAAAAATTTCGTGACAAACCTTATTGCCACTATACAAAACGACGGCGCGAGAATCATTATAATTGTCTTTAGGTTCCGGGTACGAGGTTGACTTACTCATGTCTATTGCCATTTGGAGATCTTCATTTTCTTTATCAGCCATCTCAACCATAGAGGCATCTATCGCTGTTTTCAAATCACGATCTTATGATTGAACATATAATAAGTCAAAAAATAAAGTCAATCACGTACTAATTTAATTGAAAGAATTCAAATAATACAAACCATTGTCAAAAGAGGATGATTCTCTATCAAGACAGCCTAACATGGTATCCCCTTTACAATAAAAAATAAATAAAAATTTGTCAAAAAAGAAATTTAAATAACTAGCATATATTTATGTGGTCAGTGTGTAACTAACTATATTCATTTTTGTTTTATCTAAGAAACTTTTTTTTTTTTTGAACAAGATTAATCTAATTACCTCCTTGATTCCAGTTATCATTTTGTGAATCTGAACCTAATGGTGCCAATCCAGAAGTCTAAAGCATGATTGGGGAAAATATCATTGATTGAAAGTGCCACAATCTTTTTCTACAGTAAATAGTTTTATAAATGCTATTTTTACTTCTTCAGTGTCATTACTAAATATAAAATTTGCAGCGCGGTTCACATCGCCATTGAATCTCTAGAGCAAAAAAATTAGATACTTTTGAGCCAATGGATTTGATATTCGTAAAGAAATAGATATGCATAAAAAATGACCATTATTTGAGCTGTCATCAATAGAAATGGGGAATAAAATGAATATTTCAAAAATAAATAAATAAATATATATATATATATATATATGTATGAAATACAAATTTAATAAGAATTATAAACTTTAGAAAAAAATTTTTTCAATTAATGTAAAAAACTTTTTTTTCTTCAAGAAAAACTATTCTTGATTATATGTTATATCAATTTATATAAAAATTTAAGATCTCCCCCTTCTTATTGACAAAAAGCTCAGTCATTAGCATACCGATAAAGCGTCACGAGCTTTTTCCCTGGTTACACCCTATTGAATCAAAGATTTTAGTAATAAATACAAAGTTAATATAAATGTTTAAAGATAAGTTACCAGTTGTATTAGAGTTTCAATTTGATCATCCATAAGACGAAGTTAAAGAAATAATTGATAGTAAAATGTTAAATTTAGATCCAAATCCTATCTCGCGGATATGAGAGATCCTTACACGAGTAATACAAACTCTCAAGAAGGAAATTACCAATCAGAAGACGCAAATTTCAATCAAATGATCAGTCTCGGATTTTACCAAATATGGGGGACGTCTAAAGCGTATATATAGTATTTATTGAATTAACTTTAGGGTTAGGGTCATCCTAGGTTAGGGGTTAGGTTAGGTTTTAGGTAGTTATATATATGTAAAATTGCCTTCCCGGCATTTTTGCTTAACCTAC